ATAATTTGCTGTTCCGGAACTCTTTTGTCCCTTCCGTATATAAAGATAAGATGACACCAAAATTTCATCTAGATGATCATCTATATAATTTTATTTAGATAATAGCAAACACTGTATATGTGTTCCCTTGAAAATGATTATTTTCCTCCCAGATGTGCGCAAACGACGCTTTTCTCGTGTGACAGATCGTATCGCACCTGTCAAAATATGAAACGATATGTTTCGCGAGCGCGGGTTCTCTCATGTTTAAATTAAATACGATTAAAAACGACGATCGCAGAACGAACGGATAACCGCTATAAATAATGTAGCACACATTTTATGAATCTATCGATAATACAAACGTCCATTTGCAATTCTGCTGCGGCGGATTTCATCGACACATGCAACAAACTGAAACTAATCTTTTAACTGAACTCGCAAAGAAAACATCGCAAACCCAAATTATAATTTTTATAAAGAATTTTTATAAAGAATAAGTAAGTAAAATTAAGTAAAAAAATTTCTTTCAAGCACACATCGATTTCATTTTAAAATCAATGCGTGATTGACGGAAATTTTTCACTTTTCACGTTTTTACTTTAGAAAAAATTACACAATCAATACCTATGCAGCTCTTTTTAACCGAAAGATATAGCTCTCTTACACCTTCTCTTACTTTTTACGCCAAGCTATTGTAAACGACGCTTTATGCGTATCATAATGTAGAAGGGATTTAGAAATTTTGAATTGCAGTCCTAGAAACGATTCTAAGGAGAGAGTGAAATCATCCCTCTACTTATTTAAAGCGACCTTTTGCTTTTCTCGCTATATCTCGAGAAATGCTGAAGATATCGAAAAATATTTTGTACAAAAATATGTAAGTAATAATATCTTGAAAAAATATTTTTTGAACAATTTTTTTAAATCTGTAAAAAAAATATTTCAAAATTTTGTTAATATAGTTAAATAAAGGTGTTTTTATCATAAAACATTGATTTTTTTGATACTTTGATACTTTGATACTTCATCTATTTATCTTTTTCCTGTATACATGTAACCTTTAAAAAAAGGTAAAAAAAGGCGACCAGTTAAGGGCACGCCATTAACAAAAATTATCCATTGCAAACCCATGTAGAATCCTATCCTATTGCAAACCCATGTAGAATCCTATGAAAAATTAATCATTGCAAACCCATGTAGAATCCTAGGCAAAATTAACCATTGCAAACCCATGTAGAATCGTACCCATTGCAAACCTATGTAGAATCCTATGAAAAATTAACCATTGCAAACTCATGTAGAATCCTATGAAAAATTAACCATTGCAAACCCATGTAGAATTGTATTAAAAATTATCCATTGCAAACTTATGTAGAATCCTACATTGCAAACCCATGTACAATAGAATTGTATGAAAAATTATCGATTATAAACCCATGTACAATCGTAACAAAAGTAATGAAATAAAAAAAAAATTGCGCCAAGTGAAAGTAGAAACTTGTACCAGTGGAAAATTAAAGTTGCAGACATATATAGAGTCGTATAATGAATCAGTAAAAATTTAAATTTGCAAATGTAGAATCGTACCATAAAAAAACTTATCTTTTAAAAAAAAAGATAAACAAGATGCCAAGTCCATGCGCCATGTGAAAAAGAAATAAAAAAATTTTAGTTAAAAAAACTGGGCGCGCTGCTAAGTTTCAAAATTACAATGCACCTTAAAGTAACATTAATTAATTTAAACACAAAACATATTTTAACTGTAATGAGTTTAAAAGTAACAATTTAATTTTAATATTGTTAGAATATTATTTAGCAGCGCTCCCAGTTTTTTTAACTAAAATTTTTTTATTTCTTTTTCACATGGCGCATGGACTTGGCATCTTGTTTATCTTTTTTTTTAAAAGATAAGTTTTTTTATGGTACGATTCTACATTTGCAAATTTAAATTTTTACTGATTCATTATACGACTCTATATATGTCTGCAACTTTAATTTTCCACTGGTACAAGTTTCTACTTTCACTTGGCGCAATTTTTTTTTATTTCATTACTTTTGTTACGATTGTACATGGGTTTATAATCGATAATTTTTCATACAATTCTATTGTACATGGGTTTGCAATGTAGGATTCTACATAAGTTTGCAATGGATAATTTTTAATACAATTCTACATGGGTTTGCAATGGTTAATTTTTCATAGGATTCTACATGAGTTTGCAATGGTTAATTTTTCATAGGATTCTACATAGGTTTGCAATGGGTACGATTCTACATGGGTTTGCAATGGTTAATTTTGCCTAGGATTCTACATGGGTTTGCAATGATTAATTTTTCATAGGATTCTACATGGGTTTGCAATAGGATAGGATTCTACATGGGTTTGCAATGGATAATTTTTGTTAATGGCGTGCCCTTAACTGGTCGCCTTTTTTTACCTTTTTTTAAAGGTGAGTTTTTAGAGATTATATCATTCATTTTTGTATATTTTTATGACCGGAATAGAACAATTATTAAACATGTTTATCTAAACTTCTTTGCTTAAAATGATGTGTACAATCATATCCTAGAATCCTGATCATTCCTCCTAAAGCACCCTATTTATATAAATTTACCCATATGTGTGTGTGTGTGTGTGTGTGTGTGTGTGTGTGTGTGTGTGTACTAATGTCGAGCATTTTTTATACATTTTCTATTAAATTTAGATAAAAGTTGCAGGATTTCGAAAAAGAAAAAGTTGACACAGACTTTTTCCTAAACGGCGATTTTCAAGGTTATTTAAAGGTCACTTATATTTTCAAAATAGAATTACCTTAATTTTTCTCATATAAATCGATTCCTCGCAATATTTACTATAAAAAGTTGTAAAGGTATAATTTTTTTACATAATCTTACATAAACTTCGAAATATTACAAATATTTTATTTTATGAAATATTTCAGTTTATGTAAAATTATGTTAACTATCTTTTAAATTATTCACTTTTAGCCATCTTACCCTTACAACCTTTTATAGTGAATATTGCAACAAATTGGTTTATATATATAATATATATATAACATCAGTTATTATTAATTGATGTTTACATTTATTTTTAGACTTACTAGAGCTCAAATGCTCCACATTTTTTGCAAAAACTGTTTATTCTACAGATTTCAAATATGCTTTTAAATGATGATTGAATATTTCCTTTTTTTAATTATTTTTATTATTATTTTTCAATCTCAATCAACTTTTATAACTTTATGCCAGCACGATACAAATACATGTGTCTTTATTTTTTTTATTATTTTCATTATTATTTTTCAATCTCAATCAACTTCTATAACCTTATGCCAGCAGGATACAAATACATGTATGTCTTTATTATTGTATCAACTCTTGTCTTTTCCATGTAACCATGTCTTCATAGTTTGAATTATCCCTTCATCTTCTCAATCTTTCGCAGAGATTTAATTAATTAAATACACTTCACACGAAATAAAGTTTGCTGGAAGATATACAGCAAACGATAACTGTAAAAACATGATTACGTGGAAAGAACAAGAGTTGGTACAGTAAAGGCAAGTAAGTAAGTACATGTAATGTATCGTATTGGCATAACGCTATATCCGCGGAGCAGATAATGTGGCTGTAGAGGTAGTCTGCAGTGCAGCTAATGTGGACGTAGATGTTGATTGAGATAATTGTCTAATATAAAATAGAATTTAAAAATTTAGTTTAAAAAGCTGTTGCATATATAAATAAAGTTTATTTTTTCTAAATTTGGAATATGTTTAATTAATTAATTTTTTAAGTCTATGTTTAATAAATTTTTTAAGTCTGTATTCAATAATTTTATTCATTTGATAAATACATGTATGTCTTTATTTTGATATGTTTAATATAATTAGAAATTCATTATTAATTAGATATGTAAACTATAAATTCATATATAATATTTGAAAATATATGTGAATATTTAAATTTTTATCTTCTCCTTCCTCTCCTTCAATCTCTTTAATATCAATATGTGTATGTGTGTACACGCGCGCACATTTGTACGTATTTATTTAATTATTGGATAGTTGAGAGTACTTAATTGATAAAAAATTATGACAATAATAATCCTTGTTTTTTTTTCTTATTATTTACTCAGATTTTTTTGTCTATCTTATAAGATAAACACTTTAGAGATTGAATATTTCAAGTAAACTAATTGTAAGTAAATTTCACATTAATGCATATAGATGTTTAATCATGAATGTACTAAATAAGTACACAAGACGAACAGTGAGTGAGTGAGTGAGAATGAGAGAGAGTGTGTGTGTGTGCGTGTGTGTGAGAGAGAGAGAGAGAGAGAGAGAGAGAGAGAGAGAGAGAGAGAGAGAGAGAGAGAGAGAAGCCAACATAACCCCGCACGCTGCCGATCATGAATGTACTAAATAAGTACACAAGACGAACAGTGAGTGAGTGAGTGAGAATGAGAGAGTGTGTGTGTGTGTGCGTGTGTGTGAGAGAGAGAGAGAGAGAGAGAGAGAGAGAGAGAGAGAGAGAGAGAGAGAGAGAGAGAGAGTTAGCCAACATAACCCCGCACGCTGCCGATATGGCGGAGCGCCACTATCGCCATCTGTTGTAAAACGTGCGAGATGGACAAAATTACCACTACATGCATCTTGCATGTGTTGTGTACGTGTGATATATGTGTGCGCATGTGTTGTATACGTGTGAATACGTGTAGCACGATACTACTATGTATGCGTGGTCGATGATGATAATGATGATGATAATGATGATAATGATGATAATGATGACGGGGACGTTTCTTAATAGAAATTTTTCATATTTCGACTTTGCATTTATATATCTCTGCTTACAAATCACGTAGAGCAGAAATAAAAACACTTTTATTATATAATTCGAACTCAATCTATCGATTAAGTCTAGTATAAACTCGATTGCTTCAGCCATTATTGAGGATTCGAAATATTATAAAGACTCAAATGTCCGACTCGCGTTAAGATACACGGTGTCTCCGCTACGCCCTTAACTGGTCGCGAGACACTACCGTGTCTCTTGATATATAAAGTTTCATCAAAATCAGATTTTTCAGGTTTACGAGATTCCTTGATTGTCAGTTTCGTACTCGCGTCAGTTTGTCAAATTCAGAATAGCAATTAAAATCACAAGCAATATTAATGCTTTATTAATATTCAAATTAAAAAAAAGAAAACATTTTATCGTCTAATCTATATTCTCGAAATCTATCTCGGCGATACATAACTATATATCCTAATATAAAAGATTACTCAAAATAATTAATCTCATTTCAAATGACTTATTTATTTTTACGGTTTATAAATGATTAGTGAATTAACAAAATACATCAATCAAAGAAGAAAAATTGTCCAAGTTTTGTCTCTCACCTTATAACCATATTCTCTTAATCCCCAAAAGAAAAAAGTGGTAATTATAAGGATTCTACAGATTTCCTTGATGTCCTTAACGTATATTATATTAAGGACTCAGCTCTGAGGAAGTTTTAATCCTCCCTTATAATTTATTAAAATATTATTGACAAAATAAGTTTAATGAATAGAATGTAATTTTTTAGTAGTAATATATTTTATTATCACTTATCACCTTTTCTTTTTAGGAAGGGGAGTATTAAAGATTCTAATGTATAAAAGATAAGAGACAAAAGTTTTTTTTTTGGTCGATACCTTACTGTGTATTATAAGATTCAAAAATATATAGTCATTTGAAATCGGACAAATTATTTTGAACTTTTCAATATGTTTAATGTCATCATCAACAAACAAGATTTTAGAGAAAATACTTTTGCTTAATTGGATAATTTGCTGGGCGGCGATAGTAAAATATTGACGGAGAAAAAATAAAGGTCACGAGAGATTCGCGTGTACGTGATTATTAATAAAATTCAAGGACCCTTCGCCAATGAATAATTCAGAATTATCAGAAAGTAATGCCGACTGTGCGCAATGGCTGATTTGTCTCCTTCATTTTTATCGAAGGTACAATAACGCGTTGGAAGAATACTTCTCCTTGAATAATTTGTATATCTACTACTCTCTTACTTGACGAGAAAAGAACTAAAGATGCGGAGGCACGAATAACTGATTCTCATTTTCTTGGGGGAGCACCTGAGAGCTCCTGTCATGAACGTGGTACAATCCATAACCGACGCCGCTCGTGGCTATCTTTTTTAGGCCCTGTATGCTGGACAATATCAGGGCCATTTTGGCGAGGATCAATGCCTTGCCGCCCAGCACCGCGAGAAACTGGAAGCCCATCGGTACTAGGATCGAACCCATCAGTAGCAGGCCTATCATCATCAGCGGCAGCATGTGATGACGGTGACGGTGTCGATGTCGGTGACGTCTTCGACCTGGAGATTTACAAAGTTAATATTGCAGGAAATTAGTATAATAGCACAACATATCCGAAAGACATTTATTGTTAGTGAATATCCAGAGAATATCCGGAGAATATCCGAAGAACATTCGAACATCCTCAGGATGCTCTCTGAATATCGTCTTCGGGATATGTGTGTTGTTAGGATTATTAGCTTCAGGATTATTGGCCTCAAGTAGTAAACTGACGTCATTAAACGTCAAAATGACGTCACTTTGTCGTCTAATGACGATTGCATCGCGAAAACTCACTTTGGACGACATTACTGTTGGACTCAAGATCGGACGAGGAGGCTGCGATGCTAAACATGCGTTCGACGTCGACTTTGAAAGCGTGAGTCCGCAATACGCGAGCCAATCGATTCCAAATAATCGCCGACCAGCCGGCGCTCTCTCCTGTAGATCTGTCGAGAAAATTATTTCTGCTGAAGAATCACAGACAAAAAGGGATTTTGAATTGTAAATTTACTATTTTATATATTTACGACTATACAGAATTACTTGACATCTCGGAAGCAAAACATTTTAGAAAAAAATGACTTCGAGGGAGACATAAAATGGTATCGTGACCTTGGAAAATCGTTTGAAGGTCACGTAAAGGTCACCTTTAATTTCTTAAATAGAACAACCCATTTTTCATTGCATATTCTTGTAACTTATCTCAAAAACTTTCCAATAATGGTTCCATTATTCCGTGCAAAAAAAGTATTAAGGTATGATTACAGAAAACTGAATATTTTACAAGATATTTTTAAAAAATTCTTTTAACTCAAAAAGTACTTCACGAAAAAATACTTTATTATAAAGTTTTGGAAAGCTCTTGAGATAAACTACAAGAATATCTAATGAAAAATAGTATTAATATATATATATAACTTTAATTTAAAATATATATTATAATTTTATATTAGTATTATTGTGTAATTTATTTGCATTTGAATTGTAAATTTGACAAAATCTGTGTATTTTTTTATGGACTAACGTTTCTATGAAAGTTTTTTTATTTAAATTTTTTCTATATTGATAACATCAATTTACAAAAAAAATTTATTATTTTAAACCAGACCAGATATTTCTTATAGATTTTTAAATGCTGAAAAACAATACCGTAAACAAAATTCACTTTTTAAAAAGTTAAGAATGAGGTGTACAATATTTAGAAACAAAACGTGCCTATAATCAAAAATCTATATATATAAGCACCGTCTGTCTGTCTGTCTGTCTGTATGTACGCGAACTACTTCCGCATTTGTGGACCGACTTTCGTGAAACTGGTACCAAAATGTTGCAAATTTTTCGGGGGTGGCTGCTGTGGGTTTTTTTTTAATTTTAATTTTTTTTTTCCTCAGAGGAGAGTATGTTTTTGCGAAAAAAATCTTTTTTTGCAATATTCCTGAACACATGGTGTCAAAATGTTGCAAATTTTTTGGAGATAGCGACAATGCAATTTTTTCAAGTGTTACACCTCCACCCACACTACCACCCACGCATGCGCATTTATGAACCAATTTTCACGAAATTAGTACCAAAATGTTGCACATTTTTCTGAGAAAACTGCTGTTTTATTTTTTTAAGTTTACGCCTCCACCCACGCATCCACCCACGCAATCGCATATTTATGAACCGATTTTTTTTAAATTGGTACCAAAATGTTACAAATTTTTTGGAGATGGCGACGATGTGTTTTTTTCAAGTGTTACACCTCCACCCACGCATTCACCCACGCGCATGCGCATTTATGGACCAATTTTCACGAAATTGGTACAAAAATGTTGCAAATTTTTCTGAGAAAGCTGCTATGTGGTTTTTTTAAGTTTTATCCCACCCACGCATTCACACATTTATTCACAGACTTTTTCGAAATTTGTACTAAAATTTTGTAAATTTGTCGGGGATGGTCAATATATGATTTTAAAAAATTTTTAACACCCTATTCACTCACCCACGCAACCATCCACGCATCAACAAATTTATAAACCGATTTTCTCGAAATTGGTACCAAAATTTCAAATATCTTTCGGGGATCGATAATATGTGTTTTCTTTTATTTTTACCACCCTATTCACACACTTACGCAACCACCTACGCACCAACACATTTATAGATCGATTTTCTCGAAATTGGTACCAAAATTTTGCACATTTTTCGGGGATCACTACTATGTTTTTTTTAAGTTTTACAATACTACATACGCATCCACCCACGCATTCATACATTTATTGATTAATTTTCTCGAAATTGGATATCTATTTATATCTATATATCTATATATATATAAGTTGCAAATTTTTTGGGGAGTGTGATGAGATGGTTTTTTAATTTTTTAATTTTTTTAACATAAAGGAGGTTATGTTTTCACGAAAAAAAATTGGAGTAATATAAGTTTTAATTTTCTAATGTATCATTTAATAAACGACTGTATACATAAGTTGCTAATTTCAAATGTACATGTCATCATGGCTGAGGAAAATATCAATAAAATAAATGCAAATAATAATGAAAGAAAAAGTGTTACAATAAATTAAATGAATCAATATAATGACATGTACATTTGAAATTAGCAACTTATGTATACAGTCGTTTATTAAATGATACATTAGAAAATTAAAACTTATATCACTCCAATTTTTTGGTGTTAAAACGGATTTAATATAGGTTATATGAGGACCGCGCTTCGCGCGGTCCGAAAGACTAGTTATTTATATTTTTGATATACTTGCACTAAAAAATAGATTACATTATCGAAAAAATTTTGTTTATTTACTAAAATTAGAAGTCTTCATATAAATTTGTAATTTATTTAATTTTTCCTTTCCTTAAACAGTGCATGTTAAGTCGATTACTCGAATATATCGAAGCGTTGAAGCCTCTTTTTCTGCGATGCTGATTGGATGCTGGCGCGTTGCGATATATTCGTGGTTAGGTTAGGTTAGGGTAGGTGCGTAACGTTCGAGCGCTTCGTAATGTAAAAATAATGTGTTCTATTATGTACATAATTTGAATTCCCAAATTTCTATTATATACATAATTTTAATTCGATGAATTAAAATGATGTATATAATAGAAATTCGAGAATTAAAGTTATAATTAAAGTACATAATTGAAATTCAGCAAATTAAGATTATGTACCCTCACGGAAAAAGTTTATTTGACGCGCGCGAAACTTGCGCTTGTGTTATCTAATATTTTCTAAAAATATGTTATCCAAATATGAGGCTTTAAAAATGAATTTATTAGGCGCACTTCTTTATTTACTCCTTTATTCTTTTTTTGGCATAACTATACATAATTAATTTTATATATCGTATATGCGTCTTTCCTTAAAATACACAAAATCCTTATTACATGAAACACGCGCTTTTTCTCATATTCTTTTAATAACATCGTATAATTGAAAATAATTGAAAATTTTCAATGTACATGCAAACTTTGAAGCACGCGATAGATATACCGAGCACATTCTTTCGAAATTCAACAAGAATTCTAATATAACAAATATTACGTGCCGCTGCAAGAGAGAGAGAGAGAGAGAGAGAGAGAGAGAGAAGATCCCTCCAATAAATTCCAGTAGCTCCCTTATATCTTCCTGATTAATGTATGTTTACCCTTTGTCGGATAAATTCTATTTCTGACTACTAAAACACCTGCCTGCTTTTTTTCTCGCTGCAATAACTTATATAGAACCCATGCATTTTTTTTAATTTATCAATCTCTTTTATAATCAAAACTCACTTGGATTCCGTACTGTTTTTGGCGGTTGGACGAAATCGTATCAAGTCGAGGCCCTCGATTATCGGGATGACGTCGTCGTCGAGGAAGACGTCTAGGGTGTCGGCGATCCTCTGCTGGACGCAGCCCTTGAAGATCTCCAGCAACTTCTCATCCCGGCCGGAATTGTTCCGGGACTCCGGCGAGCAATTTTTCAGCATCGACCGTAATCCGGAATACCATCTCACCTTGTCGTCGCAATCTGCCCTTACGACGGCAGTCAGTGCGAGGGCGAGGACGTGGAGGGCACGGGGGTGCATCTGTATTTAAATCGTGCGTGCGAGCCTCTCTCGGGACCGGCGGATATCGATGTTTTGAGTGCTGCGGTGAATTAATTTTCTCCCCTCTTTCTTTTCTACGGGAGATGCACATATATTATATAAAGGTTCAAAAGTCCGGCCAATTATCCTGGAAAATAGTGGTCCTATGGAAAAATGTTAAATACAAAAGTTAGGGATTAAAATAAGGCACTTGATGTTGACCTTGATTTTTTGACCTTGAAATCAAATTTAGAACTCATTTGAAAGTCAACTCTAATTTTTTAAATAAAAACTCCCATTTTTATTACATATTCTTGTAGCTTATCTCAAGAGCTTTCTAAAACACTGTAATAAAACATTTTTTCATTAAGTACTTTTTGAATTATAAAGGTTTAAAGATTAACAGTTTTTTGACATAAAATGTAAAATATCTTGTAAAATATTTAATTTTTAATCATACCTCAATTCTTTTATGCATGGAATAATGAAACCATTATTAAAAAGCTCTTGAGATAAGCTATATATAAGAATATGCAATGAAAAAAAGAGGGATCATTTAAAAAAATTTAGTTGAGTTTGAAATAATCTCTAAATTTGACTCCTGGGTCAAAATTAAGGTCATCAAAGTGCTTTATTTTAAGCTCTACAATTTTTGTGTTTAACATTTTTTTTTTACAAAATCACTATTTTCCGACAAATTGACCGTTATCGATCTTTTGAACTACCCTGTATATATATATGTCGTTAAAAATAAACTCGTTTCTCGTGAACTGTATATAAGGGTTTTTTTTTCAACGACACTTAAAAAGATAATGAAACTATAGCAAAAAAATACGCATTTCAAAGAAAGTCCATTTTTGTCAGTAAAGATATCTTGTCTATTTATAATACAAATTATGAAAAGAGAAAAAGAAATGAAAAATTAAAAAAATATTTTCGACCCCTTTTGCAACTTTTTGCTTTAATAAAAATATTAATTAAATTTTTCAAAATAAATAATTTATAAATTACCCTAACAGCATACATATCACGAAAACGTTCAAAGAACATCCTGAGGATGTTTGAATGTCCTTTGGATATCTTCTGAATATTCTCTGAATTCTTTCGGACATGTGCTATTAAAGAAATATTGATATATATATATATATATATATATGTATATATATATATATATATATATATATATATATATACCTTCTGCTCAAAAAGTATCCGGAATTTGTAAATAAAACACTATAAATAGTTAATTATTCTTCTACATTTATATTGTCTCCTTCAAAATAGTCTCCAATCTGAACTACACACATATGCCAGCGGTTAACCCATTCTTGGAAACATTTTTCATATGCCGATTTTGAATATACATATATAATATATGTATATATACAGGGTGTCCGGTAACTAACGGACCAACGATTACAAATGGATTCTTTGTTCAATTTGGGAACGATTTTTCCTCAGCGAAAATGTCGAAAAAGGTCATCATTTTTTACAACTTTCCAATATTTGTCATTATGTATCTTTATAACTAAGCCTCAAATTAAAATTTTATTATAGTAAACTCTACCTGAAATTAACTGAAGAATGTAATTATGTTAGACTTTTAACTCCAAAACGTTTAGTTTTCAAAAAACCCATTTTTTTCAATCGCTTATAACTCGAAAATTATTGACTTCTCAACATTTTTGCTAAGAAAAAATCGTCTCCAAATTGGCCAGAGAATCCGCCCTTAATCATTGGTCCGTTAGTTACCGGACACTCTATATATATACATATATATATATATATATATATATTTATATATAAAGAACTAAGAAGTCACCAATCGATAATTAAAAATAGTAATAATTTCGTCAACCATATCTGGCTATAAATACTATTTATTAAACTTTACGACGTTTCGGCCATGGGTTTCGGCCCTTATCAAGTGCTACTTAATACCGCATTATTGTAATAACACTACTTGTTTGATCTTAGGTCATGACGTGATGTACTGTCATGATAATGTGTTACGAACTAACTCTTAGAAATATATATATATATATTTTTAATTTATATATTTTTATTTATAAATTTATATATATGTATATATACACAAATATTTAATAAATTTATATACATATATATATATATTTTTATATATAAATTTATATATAAGTATTTATAATTATATAGTGCAATAAGGGGCAAAAGTTTTGGAACGGCAAATTATGTCAGAAAATATTGATTTAATAAAAAAATGTTTTAAACAAAAAGAGTAGGGCTTAAAAACTATTTAGTGATGTTATCTGTTTGACTTTGAGATAACCTTAAAAAACCCAATCAAGGTCAACATGAAAATTTTAAACGGAATCCCCTATTTTTTATTACATATTCTTGTAGCTGATGTCGAGACCTTTCCAAAACACTATAATAACATATTTTTTCATTAAACACTTTTCGAGTTATAAGACTTTGAAAGTAGTATCGCTGATTAGCATTACTCAGGGTTGGGCAGATGTACACTGACCGGCAGGAATGGTGTCCGACGTCAGAAATGTACGACGGAGGGAACGAGACACCGATAGACAAGCGCGACCCGCGGTGTCTGCATGTTCGTATAGCTGTCTCACTCGCACTCCTTCAATTCATAGTCGAGTGAGTGAGACAGCTATTGGACACCACGTCTTGTATTGCTTTCTCTCTCGATCATACAATGTTTGAGAGAGATGCAATATCGGAATACCCCCTACTACTTTCTCCTTCGCTACTTGATCTCCGCCGCACTTCAAGCGACACATACAATGTCGCGCTACGTATGTGTGCATATGATTTTCGGCTGTCATACACGTATACACACATCTGAAATCTGACGCCGGACACCATTCCTGCCGGTCGGTGTACATATATCTTAAAAATATCTGAGATACGTATTTAAATACAGTATTTACATACCGAATAATCAAGTATTTCGAATTTTGTAATTTTTGTATATTTATATATTTTAAATGTATTTATGTAATTACAATTACATTTTATCTTTTATCGCTATAACCTTAATCTATGTATCGATCATCGATCTCGTATCAGTGGTGCTATTTTTGAAATACTGCTCGATGTACTTTCTACGAGCTACAAGGATTTTTGAGAACGTAAAACGTGAGCATATATAGTCTAAAAAATGAATCTTGAATTCGGAACATCTAAAGATTGCGAAAAAGAAAATATACCAGCTATTCTAAATGATGAATTATTTGTCAAAAAATACAGATGGCAATAAAATTACAGCTCAATGTGAAGTTTGTATAAATACAAGAAAACAATGATAAAAGATGCAATAAATGCGACTTCTAATTTTCGTATACACCTAAAGATAAATATTTTAGGAAATATAAAATATATACTAATATACAATACATATGTTTAATAATAAGATTTAGAAAAGCCGAGAAAAAATAATAATATAGCTAACCTAAAAACCTAACCTGCTTGAACAAATCGAAGAATTAAATATTACATATACATATAGTATGAGTTACATTTATTAAAATGTTTATTAAAATTTTAATTTTTTATTTCAATTTAAACTAATATAAAATCTACTTAAATTACTATGATATATATCAGGGTTGGGAAGTAACGAGTTACTTGTAACGAAGTTACAGCTACAATTACTTTTTTTCGGTAACTATAACTTAACTTCGTTACTTTTCTCCATCTGTAACTGTAACTGTAACTTAGTTACATTTTTTTAGTAACTAGTAACTATTTTAATAGTTACTTTATTAGTTACTTTTTTTGGAAACATGCGCTAAAAGTATTGTTTAAGTATGGTAGCCGTTATATTATTAAATTAAATTTTGATAACAGTAGCATATGGATCTTCATATGATTTAATCTTTTACCTAAAATTTTCATTTTGTGTACATAAAATAATATAACACATAATTAAGATCGACCAATCACAGTCAAATATTTAAAAAAATTCTTAAAGGTAATAATTGATCGATTTGCTTGCGACTTTGCGATTACCATTTAGTAACTTACTATAACTATTTTTACTGTTGTATATAAAGGTCATTCATACATTGATGTTAATTGCAAAGTCGCAAGCAAATCGATCAATATTACATTCAAGAATTTTTTTAAATACTTGACTGTAATTGTGTATAAAATGTAAGCTCCTTATATTTAAAACAATGTATAATTATTTTTAAAAAGTAACTGAAAAGTAACGACTCGTTACTTTTAGAGTAACTGTAACTGTAACGAGTTATTTTTTAAAATCGATAACTTGTAACTGTAACTAGTTACTTTTTCAATGAAATAACTGTGGGTGCGTTCCGTTATGCACTGCAAGTACTGGCACTATGACGTCATGCAAGTGTACTGTTGACAGCGTTCCTTTTTAATTTTGTGCACTTTGAAGCTACTGCAAAATAGTAAAACGGAACGCACTACAGTACGCTTTCAGCAGACTTTTAACTAACCTTTTTCGCTAATAATCATCGAGTGAAAAATTGGTGAAATGGATAATACCATTATTGCATTAATTACATATAATTTAATCGAGAATATATATGATTCGAGTGAGTCATCAAGTGAAAGCGATTTGGAAATGGAATTAATAAATGAAATGAGACGACAAATTAAAATACCTAGAATAAAATGTAAAAATTACGTTAAAAATATTGTATCATTATATTCAGATATGGAATTTAAAAGTTAGTTCCATCGTACACATGGAGGTAGCCATCTTGATTACTGCGAGTGCTTTACCTCGCCGGTTGCAGTAATCGCAACAGGAAATAACGTCAAAATTAATGACGTCATATACTCATGATAGTACTTTCGCAGTGCACTGCTATCTATATCGGAACGCTATTGGTAGTACTGTCAGTACTTGCAGTGCATAACGGAACGCACCCTGTAACTGTAACTAGTTACTTTTACAAAGTAACTTTCCCAACCCTGATATATATATATAATCTCTAAAAACTCACCTTTAAAAAAAAGTAAAAAAAGGCGACCAGTTAAGGGCACGCCATTAACAAAAATTATCCATTGCAAACCCATGTAGAATCCTATCCTATTGGAAACCCATGTAGAATCCTAT